TTTCCAGCTTTTCTCTTAGAAGTGATTTTCTTAAACTGTTCCTTTGCCGTGTCTGTAATTGAAAAAGCAAAACAAAACCAAAGGTGGGGGGGGGGAGGAATGCCAAACGAAACAACGCCATATGATTTCTGCAGCTAGCCCCTTACTGCCAAAGGCTGTGCTTTCAAGGCTGGACTCCTGTCAGCTCTTTAAGCTTTCTTGTCTCCTTGTGTGAAATAAGGAACTCCCCAGTTTTTAAGAGTATCAGCTCGTGTGCGTAGATGGATTGAGGTAGACAGCAGAGGCTGTTACTGCCTCTGTTTGCTCTGTCTCCTTCGTCTGAGCTGAAGAGCTGGACTGGACTTGACGTAGCTCCTGAAAAGGTAAAAAGCAAACAATCTGGGCAATAATTGCTTTGGCTGTCTGGCTTCGATTCGCCATCGTTCCCGAGTCAGGGTGATAAGTTTACGCTCAGCTGTTGTGACCTTGAGGACGATTGCTTGCAGCGTTTTCGAGGCAGAAGTATTTGGGTGAGGATGCTGTCTCTGCACCGGGTGCAGCTCTCCTCTCCTCTTCGGTTTAAGCATCTGTCCAGACACACACAGCATCGGTTTATTTTCTGCTTGGAAATGATAATAGGAGACACAAATATCCCTTATTCATTGGGAAATGTGGAATGGCATTTAAATTCCGTCCATGAGAACATGTTCTTTCAAAGCCTCTTCGAAGGAGCCTGGGACTGCTTGTTTCATGAATGTTTGCTGAGAGCTCTTGAAATTCCTGAGCCACTGTCGACTAATAAATGAATATAAATTATCTCCGAAACAGGTTCATTTAACTCCTGTCTAATGTATAGCATTTGGCCTGTCAGAGTCAAAATACTGTGACTTATTTTTGTATGGCAAATTGAGTACTTTGTTTACTAAAATTGCTGATTTGTTGTATAATGAGGAGGGCCTAGATTACTGTTACTTTTCACGGTAAGGATTTAAAGGGCAGGTCACCGGTGTTCTCCAGCTGCAAAATGTTTTTGATTATCTGCTCATCTCCTGTTTCATATTTCGTAGGCGGTACTGTAGTTAGCCAGGTTTTGGAATTCGCGACTTGCGTCTCGCTGTCAATCCTGCTGTCCTCAGGGAAGCTCCGCGCAGGCAAGCGGAGCAGAATTTGGCCTGCTTAACGGGACGCGTCGTATCGGAACGCAGACAGATGTGCCTACAGTGGATATAGATTGCTGATAGTTTACTAGACTATAAAGCAAACAGCTGATTCAGAGTGGAAAACTTGTGTTGTAGAGCTGCACCTTGCATCGTGTAATATTCAACATTTTCCCAACTTTGAGCTGGAAGTCTGTACTGAAGCTGTAGCTCTGTAACATTCTACTCATGCATGGCTGAACGCAAACGCTGCTGAATGCTTTTTGCTGTGATGGAATTGGGTTTTTTTTTGGTGTGGAAGCTTCCACATAGTAAGATATAATTACCGTTTTGCCAAATATTTACTAAATAATGATGCACATACAAAATACACAGTGTGAATAACTTCCTGCGCTCGTGGAGGGTCACAGGCTAGCGATAATTATTTCTGCCCCCATCCCCAAATCCACTATGTGTTATTCAGACAGATTTATGCTTTAAAATTATGTAGTGCCTGACAGTAGGAGCTGTGTTTCTCAACTTGTGCGTTCTGTGGTCAGTAAATGGGGCCTGATCCCAGGCCAGAGGAGGAGGGAGGTCCGGCCGCACCCTGGAAGCCTCGGGTTCGGCGGAGCGACGAGAGCCCGTGGCTCCGTTGGGTGTTAGAGCCGCGCCGTGTTTCTCCTCCTCCTCCTCCTCCTCCTCCCGTGGGTTTTCCCTTGCTGTTCGGGAGAGCGGAGTGCTGCATGTTGCTGCTAATTGCAGATAATGTAGTACTGACATTTTGAAAAGTATACCTAGCTGATGTTCATCCAAAGGATGACACTGCTGTCTTCCGAGATGCTGATACAGTTTTGCTGGCACAGACTCATTTCGTGATGAATTGCAGTAATAGCAGTTCAAGACCTACAGCATATTAGTGAAAATGAATCCGCTGAGCGCCGGTCCCACGGCGCTACGGCAGCACTTAGAGAACACTGATTTTCTTCAAGGGAAATCTGATTAAGCGATTTAACTGCTGGTTTTTTGGTGTGTTTTGGTTTTGATTTTTTTTTTTTTTTACCAGTAGTGTGTTACTTCTATTTGTTTCTTGATGTATGTTATTGTAAGGAATTTAATATACATAAGAGAACCAGGTGAGTGGCATAAACACAGAACATTGCTTTCTGGTTTAGCAGATGGAAGGCTCATATACGCTACAAGACGCAAAGACGTAGCAGTAGCACTGCTTTTAATTTCTTGTTATAGGCTGACCTCATACCTGGCTATAAAAGGAAAAAGGATCAACATGCTAAAATCGAGAAGCTACGTAATAACGCACACAGTGGTGGGTCTAGGGCAAAAATGTTGTAGAAATGAATGCAATCATTAGGAAGAATTATTCTAATAAAAGGATGGGGCAACCTATTCTTGAAATAGTTGTCTAATTTGAGGGAAATAGGGATAAAGATAGGCTTCCTGTTAATCATGTGTTGGTGCTTTGCACAAGAACAGCGTGTTCTTTCAGCTCTGGAGTGTGATCAGTGGAGAACAGAAATGTCCCAAGCATAATGCCGGACTCCTTTGTGCAAGCTCCTTTAAAATCACCCAGGTGCTAGAAAATTTGAGGCATCTGGAATACAGGAATTCCTAAATCAGGAGAAAATATGCAAGTATGCATCTCCCTTCTTTCCTCCTTCCCCATCTCCACCTGCTTCGCGTCCAGCTGGGAGGGGGCATGGCTGGGACATGCTGAGAGCGTACGGAAGAGGAGCTGGAAGCGGCTCCAAGCAGAAACCCTTTCCTGCTCTCGGGAAGTTTTAAGGCAGCACCTTCGCATGTCGCTGTGTTTAAAACAACACCCCTGTCCGAGATCACACTTTGATCTGTAGATACTCTGCTTCCAGTTCTTACAATTAATCTAACTTCAGCCACTGGTTACAGTTAACGTCAAAGCATCCTTGAAACATTTTAATTGTCTCTTCCACATACAACATGTTTTAAAAGCTTTCAGAATGTGGGATGCATCTTTAGGTGGTGGTTTCACCATTGCTGGGGAACCTATGAGGGGGAAAGTAAAGGCGCGCTAATAAATAGGCTCTTTTTGGTCCAACATAACGTGGTCTGGCAGACTCCTAATGCACAAGTCCGTGTGTGTAAGAGGCAGCAGAGACCTTCTGAAGAACCAGGGCTCATGGATGGTTGCATTACTTCAGGGCTAATACACGCAACAGCTTTGAAGGATTATTTGAAGATAGCAATCATCAACAGTTGGGGCCAGACCTCCTTTGCGCAGAGGGCAGGGATACACTCCTGATTTTGGCCACGTTAAATGGGTCTGCTAATGTCAGAGCAATGAAAAAATAAGTATTTGCTGCACCTGTTGCTCTGCTATCTTTGGGAAAAGACGAAGAATTGATACAGAAGTGTATGGGGGGAGCAGTGGGGTTGGTAGCAGGTGACTTTGTGGGCAGATGTGTGTGTGCGTGCACACGGCGTTCTCGATGATCAGCTAATGAGTTACGATGAAGAAATATTTTTCTGTATTTTGTGATTTGACAAGCAGCATGCCCTTTTTTCCCAATTCTACTGCATTTTCTGTAAGTTGAGAAAGGCGGAGGAAGACTTTTTCTGAATAATAATTAAACAAAAAAAAAAAGTCAGTACATCTGTGTTGCTTTCAGCTAGATCAAGAAGCTTCGCAGTCTGAAGATCCAGGATTTGACAAGGTATTCTAAAAATACTATAACCAGCTGGAAAATAAACTGGAAACGCTAAGGCTGTATTGACAACATTGTCCAACAGCTAAGGTGATGTTTTTAGTGAAAAACATTTTGAATTTTTAGGATTAACAAAATATTTTCTGTATTCCTAGAGAAAGGGTTGAATTACAAATCTTAAGATGTACGTTTTTGACTCAAACTAAAACAGGTACTACTTCAGGTAGCAAGAGCTACTGGTGTCTATTTTTAAAATCCAGATTTCTTCTGGCAAATTATGATTCAATTACAGAAGTATTTAGAAACACACAATCAGCACACATACATTTAGAAGTGCATTCAGGGAATAAAGGTTAGTGAACTAAGGGAAGTAAGTCTGAAAAATGCGTGTTGAAGTAATGAACGAGATGGGTTGAACTGTCTAGGCAAAGACTAAAGTTGTAGCCTGTTCTAGGAACTATTACTTGTAATGCCTTACAGGTTGATTCAAGTAACGTCAATTTTGTTCCTTCATGCTCGAGTTTGTTGTGTGCAGAGTAGCGTGAATGCTGTAAAGAAGACTGATATTCAAAGTTTTAATTTAATTTCCTTGTGAAATAAATATCATTAAATGCTCAGAAGGTGAAAGTAAACCAGACGAGATTCGTATGCTATTAATGGAATTATATTAAGAATTGCAATAATATCCCTTAATCTTAAAAAGGTAAATCTCTTACAGAATGAAGGTTTTTCTGCTGCTTTTCACGCCGTGCGAGGTATTACAGTTAATACAGGTTGTGATGGGAAGGCATCCTCCCTAATCCTGTCTGGGGAGCCGCTCGTTCCGTGCTCGTTAGAAAAGGTATAGGAAAAGATATGCTAGGTCCTTCATTAAATAACTACTTAATTACATCCTAGGACGAGCAGATACCAAATCCATGAGTGCTGCCGGCAGCGTCCCTAGGACTCACCCCTAAGGCATTTTTCTAATTGCCCTAAGGCAATTTCCCTGCTTTGGCAGGGGGGTTGGACTAGATGACCCACAGAGGTCCCTTCCAACCCCTACTATTCTGTGATTCTGTGATTCTGTAAGGCAGCAAACCTCGGTCTGCGAGCAACGGGTGCAAGTTCACCGCAGCAAACGCAAGGGCAGAACTGGTTAGGCAAGGCAAAACAGCTTATTCTCATTTAAAAAGCATCTACTCACCCTTCTCTGTGAGCTTCTCCTTTCTCTAGCTCCTGTATAACACCCAGCAAGACTTTTATGGTTTCCTGACTGGAGCTGATCAAATTTTCCATCATCTGAAGCTGGGCTTTCAAGTCCACAACTTCCGTGTGAGGCACGATTTGTTGGCATTCCTCGCTCACCGCGACGGCCGTCCGGCAAGGCTGGTTCTCCTCCGCCGGCGAAACGTTTACCTGGAGGGTCTGCTCGGGACATTCGGCGGCTTGGCACCGCGACGAGCAGGCGCCGGCATCCCCCGCCTGGGGCTGAAC